AGTAGTCTTGAGTGAAACACCCTCTCTTGGAAAAAACAAATGTACCGGTATGTTGTTGTCTTCACAACCAGCCAATGCTTGCATACCATGGCTCACATGGCAGATCTGAATTTAATTTTAAATGAGGAAAGAAATCACAAAGTTACCTCATCTGCATTGGCATAAGTGTTGACATCTACTGCATTCAGAACAGCATCATGAATTGTCACAAATAAACAACAGTCTACTTTACATGCAATATGCTCAAAAAAGTCTGCTTTTGCAAGATAATCACGAACACGCTCTGGAAGAAAACAAATTTGTTGGAAGAACTGATTACTGTGGTAGAGATCACTCGCGTATTTACTCAATTACAAGCCTTACCTGGTACATATACATACATGTATGCTTGATGACTACAAAATATAACTTTTAAGTTGCTATATTTTTATAAAGACAGCTAAAATCAGTTTTTTGTCTGTCTGTCTTAATCAACTACTGTATTTTCACTGATTTTTGAAAAAGGTATATTATCCCTCCAGCGAAAATAGCGAAAATAAATTTCAAGCGGAAATAAAGTATTTTACAGTATTTAAATGGCAATGGCAATTTTGGCACATTTCACAGAATAAATCTATGTAATTTTTATGGGTGATTATTTGGTCAAAATTAACAAAGAAATTATAGAAAAATTTGTTGTGGGGGGAAAATAATGGCATTCAAAAGGTAATTACCATAGAAAGTCTCCTGTCAGAAATATACATGTTTGTACACTGATAATGGGGAATAAATACAAGATTATGTAATTGCCTGCTGGAAGTCTTAACGAATAGCCCAGATAAATTAGAACAGGCAATGTGTTACATGTAAGTGTGTTTAGAATAGTCTACTCAAGCCAAGAAGATTGTGTGGACTATTTAGACATTAACCTGCATGTGTGTGTGTGTGCTACCACCACCACCAGATTGGTGTCAACACGAAGCTACCAGTACTTACAACATCATCTGATAGGCTACCTACCGTAAGATCTAACAGACCAATGAGAGAGCAGCTTATTTGTTGTAGGTATCATATTCTGCCTTGTATATATGCTTTGATTCAACTGCCAACTACAACTATTATTACAATACTATAAACTATAAACATTGGCTTTACATTGATATCTGGCACATGTCTACACAGATGTATCACTGCCAACATTGTGATGCAAAAGGCAAGAAAAAGAATTTGTCAAAGAATGAAGCAACAATGTTAATTTGTATCAAGTGAGTAGATACACATTCTGCACACTCTTTTTTCCATAATAATTTGTTTAGTTTTACATCAAACAGACATATTTTCCTATTGGCTGCATACTTGATAAATTTTTAGAAGAACAAATATGGTATAAATTATGTAGGTTTACTCTGTGAAAGGTGACGATGAAGTATGAATGACCAAGATCAACTTACTTTTACACTGTGCAAAAAAGATCTGTATTCCAAGTTTGTGATATTCATTAAACAGTTGGCGTAACCCAGTTAAACCTGTGGAGTCTATAAAGTTGATTGAAGAAAAGTCAATGATGATCGTGTGGATGCTTTCTTCTGGGCGTGAATCTGTGGTTAATTCATTATTCCTTTCAGGATCATCTTCTGCATCACTGGTGAAAGTGTTTTGCCTCGATAAAGGAACTTTGTGTCCAGGGGCGAATTCTTCAAATTCATGACCAACTATCCAGTCGTCGCTAACCACATGTTTGATAGGAGTGGAGCGTTGCTGTAAAGTACTTCGGGTTGGAGATTGTATGTCAGGCTGTGTTGAAAATCAATTGAAAAAAATAAATACCATATTTGCCCTATTAGAAGTCTATAGACTTGTGTACATGACAGAGATACAAGTCATGTTTTAATAACCAAGGATATAATAATAAATTCAAATTTATGTGCACTTCTATTGTGTCAAGATAGTTTTATTTTTATTTTTTATTAACAGCACATGTAAATGGCAATTTTTGAGTCATGGTTTCAAAAAGGCCTGTTTTTGCATATCATCTTATCATCCAAGAATAAATTTCATGAGGCAAAAACGTAACTTTTTTGAGATACATGGAAATGCGGGACTAAGTTGTTGATCAGATAATTCAACTAATTATGTATACTGTAAATATTTTATTTTTGCTGGAATTAATTTTCGCTGAAATTATTTTTTGGGTGTTTTGTACGGAATTTATTTTCACTGATTTCTGACGAGTTGAATGTGAAATATAGGAAAAAAGGTATATTTGCTAGATTTTATTTTATTCAGCAAAAATAGTAAAAATTATTTAATTAATTCCAAAGTGAAAATAGAGTATTTTACAGTACTCAAAAGTAACCATGGCCAATCAGTATTTTTCTAGTTATACTTGCCTCAACTGGTGACACCATTTCCTCATTTTCATCTATAATCACTGAAACTTCTCTTTGCTCACTTTCCTTTTTATCTTTCTCTTCATTTTTCTTTTTCTTAGCCTCAGACTGTAATATTTTTCTTGGATTAATCCCAGTCAGTTTATACACCTTTGACTTGAAATGTTCAGTATTGGCATAGTACAACGATGCCTGCATGCGGAAAATCTTGATACCAGGTGTTTCTATTGCCTGATTTAAAGGAATTAAAGCAAACAATCTTTTATTAAACAAAGTACCATAAGAATTACCTGACTTCGACCCTCTCCTGGCCATTCCTACAAATCACCAACAAGAATTCTTACCATGCCGAAAAAATCCAACCATACACACCATTGAAAATTAATAATTAATCTGTAGGTTTAGGATACCCAAACCCAGTTTTTGTTGAATAAAAAAAATTAAAGCATGTCTAAGCATGATACTGTATTAAAAAGACTGAAAAGACATCTTAGCTGTTTTGTATTAAGTTTATTCTCACTGATTTTTGATGAGTTGAGTGTAAAATATAGAAAACAAGGTATTTTTACTGAATTTTATTTTTTACAGATTCATCCCTTACGCAATAATACCGACAATAAACTGAAAGTGAAAATAAAGTGTTAAGCAATAAAAACAAATGTTCTACATATCAAACCAAAAAACATAGAGGGCGACACACATGTTTCTAAAACGATAAATCACATATGCTTGAGTATAGGCACACAAAGCTGCTGCTTGTACATGGCTCTAGAAATACGCCAGCTACTTTAGATGTAGATTGTTTTTGAAGTTTTAGCACGCTACCTATGTCAGAAATGTTGAAGCGACAGTAGCTGTGATTTTGAACATTTTATATGATCTTATGTACTAATGTTTTTAATAGTTTTAAATATGTTACCTTTTATTATGCATATGTAACAGTGTGGCAAACTATTCAATGTAAATCTTCTCCTCACTACCAGCTGTAAAGCATCCAGCTTAATTGTTTATTGGTATACATAATTTCAAGCCAATGCCAAGGCAGAATAAAGATTTCCGGCACCGGTTTATGAATAAAATTATGGACAGCAGTTCCTGACTGTCCAATTTTATTCTCCGTTTATAGTTTCTTTGATTTAGCCTAATTCTGACAGTACATTTAACAAATCTTACTATTATATTGTTTTAGACACAATTGCATGAGCATATAGGGTCAAGTAGTCATAATTTCATAGAAATAAGTCACGTGATGGGGACTGTAGAAAATTATGATGTACAATGAACACTATTAAAGGAAATTACTCATAAAATCATCAGCGAGAGGTTGTCAGAGAGAGACTTAGCCTTTCAAAATGGTGGTGTATTTGAAATTTCGCCCAAGGCCCATTAAATTGTCATCTTGCACTACCGTACTTATCCGGGTAAGAGCCCATGCCTGGGCAAACGCCCACCCCCCACTTTTGACACAATAAAGAAGTTGAGGTCATATTTGGGCACACGCCCAGAGGGTCTTTTTCTACACAAAAAATAAAAAAAAAACTATTTTCTATTCGTTGACTGTGGTTGCATTAACAGTTGACTTTCTTGAAGTCTGTCGCGATACTTATAAAAATTGTTAATTGCGTAAAACAAGGGGTGGACGCAAAATAGCTGTGACAGCTTTCTGTCTTCAGGGCAGCGTTCACCGCTGTTTTTTTCAGAATCATAACAGTCAGCAACTCTATAAAAATATATATTTTAAAGCAGAAACGGTAGTTCTCTTTTTGAAATATGTCGTGGCCCTAAAAAGGGCCGGTCGTTTGGTTTGTGCTTCTTTGGAAACGATTCAAGCAAATCGTATAAGGAGAGCCGCTAAGCAAGTGTCGCACTCGTTCGGCTTTAGCGTCGTCGACAATGAAACCAATGTTGCAATATTGTAGCAACCCGTACCTAGGAGAGTGGTTGAAATCATGTTTTGTAGCAGCTTGCGAATCCATAACTGGGGCCAGCAATTTTGCAATGTCACGCCGAAGACTGCCAAATTTTTTACCATCTTTCATCACCACTATTGCATTTCTGTCATGAAAACTATT